TAAGTCTCATCGCCTTTACTGTCTCATTGTTATTGATGCACCCTCGGATAATTATGTTGTAGGTGCAACCATTCGGAGGATGACCTTTATCTTTCATTTCTTGAAGCAACTTTTCCGCTTCACTTATTAAGCCCCCATTACAAAATCCACTAATCATTATAGTATATGTCCTGACGTTGGGCTGAAATCTTTTTGATGATAAACCACAAAAGAGATTCCATGCAGATTCAACTTTTCCAGCTATGCATAAACCTTCGATAAGAATATTGTGACTCACAATATCTGGGTCCAACTTTTTACTTACCATATCTCTTAACAGTTCCATTGCCTTAGATAGTTGTTGGTTTTTACACAGGCCATCCAGTAAAACATTATAACTGTGTACATTTGGAAGTTGGCCACAAGCTTGCATCTGAGAGAACAACTTTTGTGCATCTTGTATTCTTCCTACTTTGCAAAACCCGTCCATAAGAGTGTTATAAGTAACTGTATCTGGAACCAATCCGTTATTAGACATTTCATTAAAAATCATCAGTGCCTCATCTATCATTCTGTGCTTACAATAGCCATTTATGAATATGTTGTAGCTATAAGCATCAGTTGTGTAGCCCTTGCTGAGCATTAGTTCCAAAACCTTTTTCGCCTCACCCATTTCTCCTCGCAAACAATAACCATCCATAAGTGAACTGCACGTGACCATGTCAGGCTCAATATCTCTTTGAGTCATCATTTCGACCATGCATTTTGCTTTCCCGACCAAGCCCTCCTTGCAAAGGGTGTCTACCAAGACATTGTAGCTGTGCAAGTTTGGAAAGATACCTTTGCTCACCATTTCATTAAACAATCTCGTAGCTTCATTCCACCCTCCTAATTTGCATACTCCATGAATTAAAGAAGTATAGGTAATGACATTTGGGTCAATACGTTTACTCATCATTTCAGAGAAGAGGTTCAATGCATCCACAACTAGAGTATCTTTACAAAGGCTGTCGATGATCGTGCTGTAAATGACTAGGCTAGGCTTGCAACCTCCTTCTTCCATTTTCCTAAGCAATTGAATAGCTCCAGTGTTGTTACCTTTCGCACAAAGGCCCTTTACTAGTGTGCCGAAAGTAATCACATCTGGGTTACAATTACCTCCCTTCATCATTTTATTCAGAATCTCGACAGCATCAGCCTCTCTATTCTGAAGAAGGAACCCGTTGATTAAAGTGTTGAGAGTCGCCACATTCGGTTCAAAACCAAGTTTGAAGAACCTTCCCAAGACAGATAAACTAAACCCCATTTGATTCATATGAGAAAAGCAATTAATGATAATGGTTAGAGTATAAACATTAGGACGAATCCCCGAAAAACCCATTCGGTTGTGCAACGAGATGACTGCCGAATAATGTTTCAACTTGGCGACTTGACCCAAGAGTTGAGTGAAACAGAGAATGGAAGGAGGAGGACGCCTTTGAAGCATTTCGTCGAACAGATGGAGTGCATCCTCAAGATTAGATACTTTCACAAGACGGCGTGGTTGGGTGTTTCTAGATTTGGTTGATTGAGAGTGAAACGGAGCGAAGTAATTGTTGAAGAACGGAAAAAGAGTAGAGTTATGAAGAAGACAAGGCACAGGCGGCATACCTCTCACTCTCAGTCTCAGTCTGCTGCCGATGCCATAACCAACCTTCAAAGAAGAAGAAGAAGAAACTGTCGTCACCCGCATCATCTTCACAATGTCTGTATGAGTGGGTGACCGAGTGAGTGTTGAGCCTCAAACCTCCAACCGGCCTTGTCTATAAATCTCAAGTTACTTATTCTTCCGTTTGCTTTCTGCTGTTTCAAAGTTATATATTATTATTTTGGGTTAAGAGTAAATTATAGCAATGGTGCCTCAACTTTAATCAAATTAGAGCAATGGTCCCTTAACTAAAAATTCATTACCATTGGTTCCTCAACTTATCAAAATGTGTAGCTATAGTCCTATTCATCAATTCCGTCAAAATTTTGTCAAAATAAATTATGTTGGAATAACCATTTATATAATTAGGGTTCCTCAACTCACCAAAATGTGTAATTATGGTCCTTTTCGTCAACTACGTCAAAATTTTTGTCAAAACGAGTTATGTTGGACGGACTATTGCTACAATTGGGTTAAAGTTAAGGGAACATTTCTCCAGTTGAATTAAAGTTGAGGGACTAATGGTAATGAATTTTTAGTTGAGATACCATAACTTCACATTTTGATGAGTTGATGGACCAATAGTAATGGATTTTTAGTTGAAAGTTAATGATCTTTCAACTAAAAATCCATTACTATTGAACGTCTTTGTCTTCCTCTTCATCTGGGAAGCTCAAGAGCTTGGCTGCCAGCTTTCCCTGGGTTTGCAACGCCACCGTCAAGCAGAGAAGGTTGAAATCGACAACAGCGGGGAGGATAGTGGTGGGGCCCGATTAGTCGTTGGCATTGATTAGGTTCGATCTCATCGATGTCGGATTAGGAGGAGGCGTGAAGGGGGACCGTGTCGCGTTCGGTCTATGGGGAGTCGAAGAGGAGAGGAGGTTTGGGTGGGTGGGTGAAGTTGAAGAGGGAGAAGGAAGGGTGGATGTGTGGGAAGTGAAGTGGAGAAGAGGGTTGGGTGGGTGCATATGAGAGAAGGGAAGGAGGGAGGTGAGGTAGGAGACGGCCAATAATAATATTTTTTTAATTCCTTAATTTTTCTTATTTTCCATTTTTTTAATTTTTAATTTTCAAGTTTTTTAATTTTTTTTTTAATATCCACATGGCCTATATTAACACATAGTGCCCAATCATTATCCACGTCGACGCCACATCATCAGTTAATATAGTTTTTGACGAAAAACTTAACGGAAACATGAAAGTGTCCCAGAATTATGATCTTAGGTACCAGACTGGGACGAAAAAAACTTAATATACCTAATGTAGAAAACTAAGAAACTTCAGGGTAAAAAACTAAGATTAACCTTATTATTTTGTTAACCATATACAATTTAGCCTAAAATCAAACCCATGATCGGTGGTTCTGCCTATCTAGTTTTCTGGTGTTCTGGTTTCCTGCGCGTAGACTCTCTTTTTTCTTTTTTTTTCAAAATACCCAGGCTTTGCATTTTGCAGCTACTAAAAAGTAACGAAGAAGAAGAGAAAGAGGAAGAAGATAGACTTTCTCTTTCACCCACCCCACGTGTCGTTTCAAAGTTACCCACTTTGATTTGATTTTTCAACTATTGTACCCAATCAGTTTGGGCCACATAGCTAGCTATTTAATGTGCTGATTATATTGAGATTTGTTTTGTTTTTTAATTATTGTTTGATTTATTTGCCCACTTTTTCAATATTTTTTAGCCACCTTTTTTACACTATTATTTGTCTTCAAATTTATTAAAAATTCATACGAACTTTAAAAAATATTTTGTAAAGTATTACAAATTTGTAATCATTTGAATTTTTATCTCCTACTGTCAAATACCACAAAGTAATAAAAAAATGGCCAAATCTGATAAATGATCCATGTGATCATAGGTATTCGGAAGATAGCCCCTATGCTAAAAAAAACTCGGATTTAAACCCCTGTGGTGTACTCCGTTAGCAAATTTAGTCCAAAAGTGATTTTTCCGTTAACTATCTGTTAATACATGGGTAAAATTGTACCTTGACGTGTGGACCTTCTTCTTCCTGCATCGCCCCTACACAACACCCAAATTCACTTCGCACAAGAGAAAAAAGAGATACCATTTTCAATTTTCCACAAAGCTACCACCGCAACTATGGCAGCCACCGGGTCTCTCCTTTTTCTTGCACGAAGTGCGGAGGAGGAGGAGGAGGTCTCGCTGAAGCTCTCTCTCACTCCGGAACCATGGGTACCACTCTAACCCCCCCCCCTCTCTCTCTTCCTCTCACTCTCTCTGTATGTGTGTCACTGGTTTTGAATATGTGATAATATGTAGGTATCTCACATGACTCGATGCACAAGCGCCATGCTATTGGAGGCAAGAAGAAGGCATGGAGGAAGAAGAGAAAGTAATGCTTTCTACCTTCAACCCCATTTCTCTCTCTGCTTTACTCTTTGATTGCTTGTTAATTTTCCTTCATTTTCTATTATTTGCCCTTTGTTTTTTTTTATTGATTTGTTATGTTGTAATTAGGCAACAGATCTGTTATTAATCGTAAATTACTTCTGGGTTTTTTGTTGTGGATAAAAGGTGAGGTCTCACCGTATCTTCTTTTTCTTGAAAATGGTCTCTCCTTTTTCTCTTGCGCGAAGTGAGTTTGGGGATTGCGTAAGGGAGATGCAGGAAGAAAAAGGTGCACATGTCAAAGTACAATTTTACCCATGTATTAACAGATAGTTAATAGAAGTTTAAATCCGAGTTTGCTAACGGAGTACACCACAGGGGTTAAATCTGAGTTTTTTTAGCACAAGACCATCTTCTGAATACCTTATGACCACATGAATCATTTATCCGACTTGGCCTAAAAAAATTTGTCAATATTTTTATATATTATATGTTTTATAGTCAATGTTCTTAGATATTATATGTATATAATAAATAGACACTTATTTATACAATATATGATAATTTTTTTCAAATTCACCTAGTCCACCTAGGTCAGGTCATGTTCAATTCCTACTTCAAATATTTCGGTTAGTGCAAATTCTCCTACAAATATTCTGGGTAGTTCACATAGGCCTTGAAAAGATGTCCACATTTTTTTGGGACCTTAAACCGTTTAAATTTCCCCCCTCCTCCTAACAACTCTTGGCTTCGCTACTGCCCTTCCCTCCTGCATTCTCTCTCCCTTTCTCCCTTTCGCACTGCGGTCCTAGTGTAAAAAATACATCTCTCTCAATGGAACAAGGGGACGAACACATTGTGGCGGATATTCTACAAAGTTTCATTTGGGGTGACAATGGGTAAAAAGAAGCAGCTTACGAAACACTCAAAAAACACACTCACGTCCTCATCAAAAATCCAATTGCAGTTTGTTACAGAAGTGGGAAAATTCAACGAACTTTATTTTGAAGTTCCCCAAGAACCCTACATACTGTATCGATTTCTCCATCCACAGCAGTTCATTTTGTCAAGAAACAATAAACGAATAAGAGTTGAGTAGCGCAGCAACTAAAGAGTACATATATCGATTTCTCCATCCACAACAGTTCATTTTCTCAAGAAACAATCAATGAATAAGAGTTGCGTACCGCAGTGACTAAAGAGTACATATATAAGCCATATACGTTATGTACAACACGTATCCCCCTCTCTTTAGTTAATAGCAGTGAGGGGAACTCTGGAGTCTCTAATGGATTGAGCAGCCTCGTACGCCCCTGTGATGTGTTTTAGGTCACCATTTGCTGCTGTTTTGCCGATCTTCCATCCCAGAATAACCTCAACAATTCCTCAAAAGCAGGAGTCCTGAGTTCTTCAATGGATGCAACGCTTGGAAGATTGAATGACCTCTTTCTTGGTGTGGAACATGATGGTTCATCCACCTGCTTGTTGCAGAGGTTGAAAATATCGTTAAAGAACACAGAATACTTAAAAATGTAACTCTACTTGGAAACTAATTGCGTAATTTGAAGATTAGTTTTTTTCTTTTCTTTTTTTTCTGAAAATTTCATTGAGAAAAACAGTTATTGCACAATACCACTCTTAACAGTCTTACCACATATTCATCGAGAAGAAATTTTCCTGCATTTTCGGTGATTTCAACAATATTATGGTAGTGACCTCCCTTTAGTTCCCTCAGATCCCCGCAACATGGAACAATCATTGAGTTCAGATTTCCACACGCCTCACGGTCAAGTTGTAATGAATCTGCAAATATTTGTTTCAGTAACTGTAGTACAACATATAACAAAAAAGACAAATGTAAACTTAAAACGTGAAACTAGATACTGACGATCTATGGAAGAAAGGAGATTCTTGTCTGCAACATCTACATCTTCTAGTGCAGTTGACACAGCCAAGGAAAACTTTTCACGTAAGGCTTGATCCGCTTCCGTTCCCCTCCTAATTGAAGAGATAAAAGAAAAGAAATTTTAAATTGAAACCTGCAGTATTTGTCTTTTATAAGGAATGAGCTTGCAGTATTGAGCATACCTAACAACGGAATCCACAGAAGAAACATTTCTCTTTTCTAGAGTGAGCAAGGACCCCTGAGCTTTCTTCCATTGTTCTGCACCCATTGACGCCTGCTTCAAACTGCACAATATCGTTTGGTGTAAGTAATGGGCTAGAAAAATTCAACTAGCAGAAAAATGCCAAAATCGGTTAAATTTCTCATATCCAGATACTCCAGAATATATGTACCAATTCTGTAGAACCTCCTCCATGCCTTTCTTTCCACATTCCACAGCCGAAGTATCTTCATGGTAATGGGATTCTGTTGTTTCCATGTGAAGTGTCCACTTTGCTTTTATAGAAGAAGTTGAACCTTGCATGGTCGACATTTCTTGCTGTAATTTGGTGGTTCTGCTTGTTGCGCTCTCTCGAAGATCCTTTACTGCAGTTTGGACCTAAAAATACATAGTGTGTTGTCAATTGAAACCCAAATAAAAAGTCGTTACCCAATACTAACATAAAACCTCAGGAACAAGGAATAAGGAAATGGCAGCAGCTTAAGAACAAATCATACCAGTCTTTTCTTCCTGGCATTTGAACTTGTCAGCAGCTCTGCCACTTTCTCTAGTAACTGCCTTTCTTCATTAGCAGCACACTCCTACATAAAGATAATAAAAAACAAGCATTTAATTTGATGAATGACGTTGTTCTACAGTCCATTCAGTTTAAGAAGTGCACAGCAACCACCTCAAACTTATCTTCAAGTTCAGACAATTTCTTGTCGTTGGCAGTTTGTGCTTCTTCCACAATTTGGGTCAGACTGGATGCATGCAAGTCTAGAGTTTTGAAGAAGTCCACAGTAACTTTAGAAACTGACCGTGCAGTTTCAACTGCTCTTGCATGAGCCTGCGCAAAATCACATACCAAATTATTACACCAAAACTGATGATTGAGTTTTTACGTTAAAGAAAATAAAGCACCCCTGAAACCGACAATGAATTACGAACCTCACGCTGTTGTTGTGCAAATGCCCTTAGCTTCTCTTCTTGGTTGTGAAGATTGCCTTGAAGATCATTGAGTAACGCATCAGCTTCGGAAGCGATTCCTTTGAAGAGCTGAATCATTTAAACAAAGTCATTAACAGAATCAGGAAGAAATCTGAAGACTAAAAATATTGTTAAATTAATGCTTACATCTTCCAGAGCAGAAGAATGGTTAGAAACTTCAGAGTTTAGATGAGAAAATGTTGATTGCGAATTTCCTTCAAGATCCCCAGCTATACCATCCAGAGCTTTAATACCAGAACCATACATGTTTTTAAGCTTTCCTAATCTTCCTCGCAGTTCTTCAGTAGCCTTCAAAAAGCAAGCCAAATAATGAAGTTGTACAGAGAGGATTTGATCTCAGAAATGCATGCAAAGACAATCATCTCCTTGTCATGATCTTACCCCTGCCTTCGTTGATACAAAGGACTGCATGTCCTCTTCCATATCTTTCAATTGCTGTTCTTGTTGTGTCACTGCAACTGCCACGGTTTTATGCAGGACTTCAAGCTGCTGAGTTAATTGGGACTGGAATTTCTGGACTAGTATCCGGTTTCCATCTTCAATCTTGTCCTTACACTCTACGAAACTAGCCATGGTCAGAAACAAATAACCCAAGTTTTGAGGGAGATCCAAGAAGAATATGCAAAATAAAATACAAACCAATTTTAGCAAATAAACTGGACACATCTGATGCAGCATTCTCTAGCTCTGCTCGCAGCTCAAATGCACGCTCGACAAGTGATCTTTCTGGAAGCAAACAGTAGACTAATAGTAAAAAAAAGACATTTAAGTGTACCATCTAGCATGAGATTTAATATATGCATATACTCGAATATACTAGTGTAGTATTAACCCTAATGTCAGCTATATAACTAGGGAAGTGTTTTTGGCACTCCAAAAATCTCACTCTTCACTCCTCACAAGTGTATTTTTTCTTTCTAAATATAGAAAGTTTGGAGTGTAGAATGAGAATTTTGGAGTGCCAATAACAATTCCCTATAACTAAGGTAAGATGAAATGGTCTGAATATGTAGATGGTAATACCAGGAACTTTACTCACCCGATTTGAGAAGATTTACTATCAGAAATTCCTTCTCTTTGACGGTCGCATTTGCTTGTCGATGTTTGTCCTCGAGATCAAACAGTGCATGTCCAGTTTCCTCAAGCTTTTTCTGAAGTATAAAGTGTTGAATTTACTCAGGATAAGAGCAGAAAGAACAAATGCCGACTCTGTAAGTTAATATAATATCACAAATGTACAAATGTATTACCTCAGTTTTTTCAAGTTTATCGCCCAATTCTACAGCCAAAAGTTGCTGAGAACTGTAAAGTTCCTGAAGCTCCAGCAATTGCTGCTCTTAGGCCATAACGTAACATGTATATTAGTTCCCACCCTGTCATCAATATTATTCAAAAAGAAAGGAATATCTTGATGGAAATACCTTGTCTTTGGATTCAGAATCATGATCCATCCGTTCTATCATCAATATTATTCAAAAAGAAAGGAATATCTTGATGGAAATACCTTGTCTTTGGATTCAGAATCATGATCCATCCGTTCTATCTTTTCAGCCATTGCCTAGGGTACATAAAGAGTTAATGAGGTGAGTAACCAGCCAACTGTGAACTTATGTAGAAAAGCAATCCATAATTCAGTTAAATGATAAGAATAAGACCTTCTTCTCTGCTTCTTCACTAAGATAACGATCTCGTGGTATATAGATTCCATTCTTCTCTCTGGCAGCATATACCTCTGAATGAACATAAGAAACATGCCAAACAATTTAGCCTCAAGCAAATTAACTATAGAAAATCATTAAATAATTGGTCCATTGAAAAAATCTTTGGAGAGATAGAGAGAGAGAGAGAGAGCATATCAATGCTAGAATCAGTTAACAACCTTGCTTGAGCCGATCAATCTCAGAATACAAATCCTTGATCAAAGCAGATTTCATCATTTTTTGATTGACCTGAAACAATAAGCAACGAAAAACCATAACAAGGACCATCATTTTCTTACTGACAGTTCAACTTTATCGTCTATGAGAACAGGGATTGAACAAATTTCTGACCTCTGGTTTGTTCTTTATATTTTTGGCACGGTGTGCATAATCTAAGGTGCTGAGTGTTTCTTCCAAACAATGGATGGGGGTGACACAGTAGCAATTATGCATGTCTTTGTTTTTCCTCCTAAGGAGTCTCGCAGTAATCTTGTAAGTTTACTGTCCCTGATATTCCAAACAATTTCATAGTAATAAAATTTACTTTCTGAGGTCTGCAAATATAGTCAAGAACAGCCAGGGATATTGATTAAATATATAAGTAATACCTATACGGAACATGACCAGAGTGCTCAATGAGAGTATTAATGACACGACCAAGAGTAAGTAAGCTTTTATTTATCTCCCCAGCTTCCCTTGCTCTGCCCTGCAAGTGAAAGTTTCTGTGTAAAGATTAAATAAGCTAAAAACACAAACTTGATGGACATTGTGGCAATAAGATCCAGTTCGTAAAATAACATCCCAAGGAACTCACCATATGCATGTGCTTTACATCATTATATTGATTTAGACAATTAATTTTGTGCCATACCTCTCTTGCACCAGAGCGTGAAATGTTCTCAGACCCAGCGAGGTCTACAAGATTCAGCTTCCCACACTTAATCATTTCTTCGCCCTCTGGAGTGCATTCCTTAATGTGAATTGTGATGGAAAATATTGAGTGCGAACGGCTGCTTTGTTTGTTGAGAAGTGTCTCAGCTGTACGCCTTTTTGCCGATCCCTTCTCCAAGATTTTATAAATTTCATTTGCTGTGCACACTATCTCTTCTTCCAAGCCTCTTACAAAAACACCACCCTTTCCATCTTCCATGAGAGCTATGGGTTTCTTTGATTTGTCATCTACAAACTTCATGTTCTCATCAGGGGCCAAAAGATCACTTATCTCCTCATTGTACAGCTCTAAAAATGTGACTTTCATGCTATACTCAGCAACCTGAGCTTCTAAAATGTCAAAAATTTGTTTAACAGCTCTTGGGATAACACCCGCATCACTTGGAAACTCCCCATTCTACAAAAATCACAAAATCCAATTAGGATATTATGAAAAAGAATATCATAACGTAACATACAGAGTGCCGACTATTCTAAAGTCACAAACCAACCTTCTTTCTTGCTCCTCCTTCCATAGTGTATGTTTTTCCCGTCCCTGTCTGACCATAGGCAAAGATAGTGCAGTTATATCCCTCAAGAACTTCATTTACGATAGGCGCCACAGCTTGATCATACAGTTCCTTCTGTTGGGATGCCGGACCAAAGACCTAAACAACACTATCCAACTTTCTGATCACTTACCAGCGCAAAGAAAGAATATAACAAGTAGCATAACAACAGGAAACATATACCAATTGCGCTTAACTAAAATTTAGGATAAATCCTTATTTATATTTCGGAACTTTGGGAACCCAAAATCGATCAAAATCCATGAATTCCTTCATCTAATAAGACCCTAGTGCATAATTAGAAGGAGAAGACACACAAGAAATTTAAGTTTCACTATTCCAAGCCACAAACCTTGTCAAACGCAAAAGTTCTATCAATCTGCTTGTTAGCTATATTCTGAATTGCAGCAACTTCTCTTCTACTCTCATTGCAAGAAATCACGACCGGCGTATGCACTCTCATTTCATCTTCACTCAATGGCCTACAAACGCAAACTAATAGATTAACTCACTCACTCAGACAACATCTCACTGAACTTAACTCAAAATCCGACTCACCTGCAACGCACAAGGACCTGCACATTGACACCCTTTTCCTTCTCATGCCTGTTTGTCGAATTCGAATCCCCGGATCGCAGATCTCGCACCGACTTGTCGCTCGACCTCGGCGTCTGCGAGGGTGATAGTGACACCAATCCTCCTCTTCTCTGTTGGGACTGTGAGGAATCCATAGCTCTGTTGCTCTCTGAATCTGAAAACCTTCACTCATCAGTACCAGTGTACATAAGTACATATACACACAGATATATATATACACACACACACACATATATATAATCACTCAAGATGAGTCCATATTAATAGGATAATTTGAATTTCCTATCTTTGAGTCAACGATCGATCGCCAAACAAATTCGAGCAATGCAATTCTGAATTCACCCAATATACAGATTCGAATCGGAAAATGATCGAAAACGGAGGACCGAAACCAAAATGTGCGCGATTCAACCGAAGAAATCAGAAAACACAAACAAAAAAGCAGAATTAATGAAGAAAAAATGAAGAAGAAACTTACAGTGAAATCGAAATGCCGGCCGGACTGCAAGTCCAGAGAGGTCCTTGAAGCAATGGCGATGGCGGTCCCTAGAGAGAGAAAGTCGTAGTCGTAGAGTATAGAGAGAGAGAGAGAGCTGTGAGAAACAAGAAAGACTAACGAGGGACTGTGTTTTGAGGGTTTCCTAATTTTGTGTTTGGAGCTCAAAAATAAAATAATAATATCTTAATTAAAAATATAAATTAGGCTAATTTTCAAGAGACGTTAACGGGAGCGTGTGAAATTCTGAGGACGGCATTGACGCGTCTATTTAACGCCGTCAACTAAAATAAATATCCGTTTGCAGAGATGGTTTAATTCCCGACCGTTATGAATCGACAAAGAGTCCTCACCTCGCTGATCTTTTAAAATAATTTGAAACGGAACCCGGTTTAAATTATTGCCCCTGTTGTTACCAGATATTACGGATATATCCTTCCTTGTTTCTATTAACCTGCGTTTAATTAGTGTCGTTTTTTTTAATTAGGTCAAATTTCAATTAATCTGCGCATTTAAACTAATTATGGGTAAATCTGGGCCCCCCTCAATTAAATATGATGGGCCCACTCAAATATTTGTCACTGTGAAGTGTATAATTTTGGGTTTTGATTACAAAATCAAGAAGAAAAATGACAAATGACGTATTTAGGAGTTGTTTAATTTTGAAATTTTGAATTTTGAAGACAAATAATTTGGCCTTTAAGAAAGTTGGTTCCAGTTTGATGGAGACTCCGGAAATCTGAGATGTTCACGGTTAGGTTTGTGCTGTAGTAGTCACCATTTGTAAACATATTAAATTTTGGTTAAACATTCAATGTATATCATATGGGTAACAAAAGCAAGTAATTAGGGATAAATTCTAAACCCGTATTTCACGGGGTACGTTTTGGATTCAACTCAGGGGAGTCATTCTACCTTCGGAAGGGAAGACTGCCGTGGTGAAGCCATCAACTAGTCATTTTAAAATAAAATAAAAATCATATGGGTAATTTGGTTGAGGGCACAAAATGTTACTAGAAATAAAATTGGATCGATCAATATTTTGTGTTTTTAAGTAGAGGTCAATAAATTTTTTTAACAGGGTGTAATGACCTTAGAGGAAAGTTGTATATACTAATGGTGTGTTTACCAAACTGGAATTGAAATAAAGGAATCGGAATTGCATTGTTTCCAAGTCATTCCGTTGTTTACTAAAATTGTAGGGAATCAAAAACACATGGGGCCGATCTAAAATCCAGAATCACACTCCGGAAATTCTCGGATTTGGATTCCTAGAAGAGACCTGGTATTTGGATTCCTGGAGAAACTCTTCATCCGGATTCTAACTTTTATACCGAAACGACCCTCATGATTTTTGGCTAATCCGAAAGTACCCCAACAACTTCACCTTTCCACCCATCATAGAGTCCTACAATTTCGTCTTTATCAACTCACGGCGAGCTCCAACGGCGATGGCGGTGCAAACAAATACAAAACCACATACAATGATACAAATCAAAACAATCATGAGAATCAAGTTTCTAACAAAACCCAGAATGAGAGAGATATGGGTTCCTTCGCACCTTTGTTTTGAGAACCAAAGAGGACGGAGAACATTTTTTTTTTAACCCCTGAGGACGGAGACCGTCCTGTTTTGAGAACCAAAGAGGGTTCTAACCTCTTTTCTTCTTACTACTTATTGCAATTTATTTTTGTCTTTAATAAATTACTTTTATGAAATGTTTTTTTTCTTCTTAAAATCAAATAGAGATAGATGTGCTTCTACAGGGTAATAAAATGTAAAAACATTTGTTAAATGTTTGCCCTTCGATCTTAACTCCTAACTAAAATGTTATTAAAAATAAATATAGGATAAAATAAAACAAAAAACAATAAAGGCATTTCAGTAATCTTATTGATTTATATTCCGATTCATCTAAATTAGTAAACAACTTATATGAACTAAAGCGTTCATTCATACTCCGATTTCAGAACATTTAAGTAAACAGCTTCAACAGTAATCCGATTGTGACTCCTTCTCAATCCAATTCCTTCTCAATTCAATTCCTCCTCAATCCAATTCCTCTATTTTGATTACGGTTACGTAAACACGCCATAAGTGGTAATGGGAATAAATGGTGTCAAACTCGTCATATACGATATTCGAATCTAAGACCTCTTAGGTTACAAAGTGGCAGTTTTAATATTTTATGTTAGGGGAGGGAGATGAACCTAAAACTTCAAATTATTTGCAGCTATTAAAAAATTTATACATTATACCTAAATCCATTATCTTAGCACGAGAATGAGAGGGTAAGAAAATAATGGGTGCTTAATTTTTTTTGTTAAATTATCAAAATAATCTTATTAACAAGTCAAAAACAGGTCGTGCAAGAGTTGCACATGAACACGTAAATAACCTAATTCAATGAGGCATGTTTGCAGAGCTGATATGTCGTAAATGAAGAAACCAATTTAATTTGTTGTTGAATAAAAGTGTCTAACAAAGTTCAAGTTTGTCAAATTTTCACCAACCATTTGATTTGGTAATTTATGCAATTGGTGGAATTGTTTAATAGTGATTAGTCAAGCGGAATACATGGTGATGAAACTGTGACAAGATTTGGGACAGGAAGGGAAAGCACAATTGAAGATGACGAAAAGGAAGACAAAGTGGGTATGTCTGTACGTGTATAGTGGCAAAGTTGCCCCACGTGATAAAGAGTGATGTGTGGAGGCACATGGTGTTGGTGCCAAATACATTCCTCGCGACTTAAAAAAAAAAATAGAAATAAAAACAAATAAACTTTTGAAAAATGTAGGAGCGTTTTGAACGAGGGGTTTCGTTTTTCAATTTCGTTAATAAAACATTTGTTTCTTTTAATAATTTAATTAATGTTGTGGTCTATTTTTATCTGACAGAGAGACTAGGGCCGGCGGCAGAGAGAGAGAGAGAGGAGAGAGATGTGTGTTTGTAGAATTGTAGGGGAATGTGTGTGTTGTTATCCCTCCTACATTGTGCCTTTATTTATAGTAGTAAAGGGAGAGAAGATATTCCTTCTCCTCCAAGTAATACAAGTTGTAATAGGAAAGGATAACTAGAATCAAATCTAATCTAGGATTTACACAATCATACTTATTCTAGGAATGTTTACAATATTCCCCCTTGAGTGTGCAAATACTTAAGATAGATTCAGCATCATGCAGAAGTTGAGGAAGTCGACTCGTCGGTACTGATTCCAAGGAACAACGCTTATTCTCAATGAGGTAGGAACTTGCATAAGTAGTAAGTCTCACTAAAAAACCCTAAGGCTATGGCAAAAACCCAAGTAGGGACAAAATCCATAGTCTAAGGAAAAATGCGTGAGAAATGCAAAGTCAAAAGAAATGTCTACAGGACGTCATCAGGGATATGACCAACCCAAGGTGGGTGCCTCGTTAAAAGCTAGTTAGGTAGCAAAAACACAGTGGGAAAAATGCTCCTAATCGTAGGGAAAAAGAGTACATTAAGATCAAGCAAGTATCCAGAAGATACTCCCCCTTAGTTTGACATAATTCCAAAGAGAAATAGCAAAGTTACAACTCAGAAAGTTTACGCATACCAATTCCATGAACAAGCTTCTGAAACGTCGCCTTCGGTAGTGATTTGGTGAAGATGTCAGCCAGATTGTCTTGTGATCGGATTTGCGTGACTTCAATCTTCTGATGCTCTTGCTGTTGATGTGTAAAGAAGAACTTTGGCGCAATATGCTTGGTGTTGTCTCCTTTGATGTAATCCTTCTTGAGCTGTTCGATGCAAGCTGCGTTGTCTTCAAAAATCGTCGTCGGGGCATTAACGGCAGGATGAAGATCACAGGAGCTTCGAATATGGCCCATTATTGCTCTCAACCAATAGCATTTCCGAGTTGCCTCATGTAAGGCGAGAATTTCAGCATGGTTAGACGAAGTGGCAACTAAGGTCTGTTTAGTTGACCTCCAAGATATTGCGGTGCCTCCAACGGTAAAGACATAACCCGTTTGAGAACGCGCCTTGTGCGGATCAGATAAGTATCCAGCGTCGGCATAACCAACAAGGCGAGAATCAACCCGATGAGCATAGGGTGCAGCATCACTCGAGGATTCGTAGGGATAGAATAAGCCCAAATCCGTAGTACCCTTAAGGTAACGGAAGATGTCTTTCACGCCAGTCCAATGTCTGCGTGTTGGTGCATTGCTGTATCTTGCCAAAAGATTAACAGCGAAGGAGATGTCGGGTCTAGTGCATTGAGCTAAGTACAATAAAGCGCCTATCGCACTTAGATAAGGAACTTCAGGCTCCAAAATCTCTCTTCATCATCCTCCTTCGGGACGGAAGGGATCTCGCTTTGCATCTAGCGTACGAACGACCATAGGAGTACTCGAAGACTTCGCTTTATCCTCATTAAAACGGCGCAACACCTTCTGGGTGTAGTTCGATTGATGTACTAAGATTCCATCCGAACAATGCTCTATCTCGAGACCGAGACAGTATCGAGTCTTTCCTAGATCTTTCATCTCAAATTCCGACTTCAGGTGCGAAGCAGTTCTCGCGAGCTCTTCAGGAGTTCCGATGAGATTCATGTCATCGACATATACTGCAACAATCGCAAATCCGGAATGTGACTTCTTAATGAACACACAAGGGCATAGTTCGTTGTTCACATATCCCTGACTAGTCAAATACTCACTTAGACGGTTATACCACATTCTTCCGGATTGTTTCAAACCGTATAGTGAACGCCTCAGCCGAATTGAGAGCGTGTTCCGGGGTTTGGAAATATTTGAACCAGTCAATGTAAGTCCTTCGGGAACTTTCATATAAATTTCCATATCAAGATCCCCATAGAGATACGCGGTTACTACGTCCATCAGCTGCATATCCAGTTTTTCGGAAACTACCAAACTGATAAGGTATCGAAAAGTAATCACATCCATAACGGGTGAGTAAGTTTCGTCATAGTCAATCCCGGGGCGTTGTGAGAAACCTTGTGCTACAAGACGAGCTTTGTAACGCACAATTTTGTTCTTCTCATTACACTTCCGAACGAAAACCCACTTGTAGCTAACGGGCTTCACATGTGGAGGAGTAGGAACTACAAGTCCAAACACCTTACGTTTCGCAAGTGAATCAAGTTCGACTTAGATTGCTTGTTTCCAGTTTGACCAATCAGCTCTAC